GCTTGTGCTGAAACCCACCAAGCCTCCGCGCCCTCCTCCCCGCCTCCCGCAGGGCCCCCCACCCTGCGGGCAGGCCACGCCCTGCAACCCCCACAGCCCCTGCCCTCGCCCCCCGGGCCGCCGGATCTTGGAGGCCTAGGGAGGCTAAGCCGAGGCTGGAGGGCGCGGAGTCCAGGGCGCCGGATCCATCCCGGGGACATGGGGGGCAGGGCTCTAGAAAAACCCCAGCCTGGTGGAAGGGGCTCCACCCTCCGCGGGCTAATGCGTCCCTCTGTCCGGGAGCCGAAGCAGAGCGTCTCCCCTGATGGTGCAAAGAAACAGAAGGACCCCCTACGGCGCCAGCCCCCGCGCCCCCCAAATCCCCACGCAGCCTGCCTGCCTGCCCCGGTCTAGCCCTGCGCGCACATACACGTGTGCAACCCACGCGGAGCTCGAGAACTTTCCCAGCACGCCTGTGGCGCGATCGTCCCCCCGCCCGCCCCAGCCTCGCAGCCCTTCGAGACTCCCCTTCCCCAGGAGGTTTCCCCTCCCCCGAGAAGGGGAAACGCTTCGGGAAGAAGGCTGCTGCGCCGGGGCGCCCTGACCGCCTCCTCGGAGGCCGGCGAACCTGCCCGCAGGACGCCGGAGGGATCGGACGGGAGCTCGCACCCCGCTCCGGCGGGAGCGCCCCAAGACCGACCCGGGCCAGGGTTCCGCGCCAGGCTCGGCGGCCGCTGGGCTCCGGGGAGGGGAGCTCGTCCCGAAGCAGCTGGCAAGCAGCTCAAGGCTCCGGGTGGGTTCCTCCTCCCCCAGCCGGGAAGGGGGCGCTGGATCCATCTGTCGGTAGAGCGGGCTCACCGGCGTGTTTTAGTCACGGAATTTACGATAAACGTCCAGAAGCACCGAAAAGGAAGCGTCTAGCTGGGAAAGGGCTGAAGGAGAGGAGAGGTTGCTGACACGTTCCGGCAAGAGGGCCTGCGGACACGCGGGGGCACACACCCAGCACGCCGGGCACCCCGGTTTCACACTCCCTCTGACACGTCGTCAGCTGCGTTAGCGCGGCCCTGCCTCCCTCGTCCTTGCACGCGGCCCCGCGCGCGCACACAGGGGGCCGGGGCGGGGTACACGCCGTGCCCCGTCAACTTTGCGCGCTGCCCAAAACCGGATCTGGGTCGGATCTAAGATATATCTGGTAGTACCTTTTAAGATGCATTTTTAAATAACGAGACTCTGGAATACAGTAGATGCTAGAAATCTACTTGGGCGCGAAGGGAGGGGTCACTCACAAAACCAGCAGCTTTAGCTCGTGGGAAAGCTAGAGGGAGCAACTTCCTTCTGGCGGATTTAGGCGGGAACGCGGCTTCTCAGAGCCTTGGAGGCGCGTAGTGCGGGTCTCTTCCAGACTCCTCTTCCGTTTAGACCACCCTGGGGCGTTGGCCCCCGCTCCCCCAGCCATCCAGGGGTGCCCGCCAGAGGCGCGGCCCTAGCTGCATAGTGGAGGGTCTGGGCCGGCCGAGAGGGCCTGGGGATTGGAGCCGGGGAAAGCGCCCTTCAGGCCTGCACCCTTGTCCTTCCTCGGGGTCTCTCCTGTTCTAGGAAATGACTTCACATCTGACAAGGTCTCCTGGCTTCTCTCCAAAAATTTGGGGAACTTAAGGAACCAGTTTCAGCTAAAAAGCGATAGGAATTATTCTGCCAGGGAGTCTTGGACCCATGGTTAGAGGCTGGGGGCCTGGACTAAATAAACTTTCTCCCTCTCCTCCCTACTTCCAGAGTCTTGTGGTGGTCCAAATACTCCCCATCTCCATCCATTTTTGGTGTCCCACGAGGGCTTTCCCTCTTCCAAAGACCCCACTCCAGACTCCAAAATTAATGCTCAGCACATCCCTCCCCCGAAAAAAAATTTTCCACTTTCTTTTAACCTCAGCTGAGCATAAGGAGGAAAACTCTAAAACACATATGGGAACTTTGTCTCCCCTCTCTTCAGTGAATGGGGCTGAGAAAGCAGCAGCGGACCCCAGGGATGACTCCCACTGAGTTCACATGTGGATGGGGAGAGGGGATTCTGGTGGCTGAGACTCTTCAGGGACTCAGGACCACCCAGCCATCACAAGGACAGTGGATAACACCAGCCACCACCAACATTCAGCTTGTGGCTATGGGACACTCTGACCTTGGAGCCTCTCTTCCCTCCTGTCTATACAAATGCCTCACACTACGCTGCACCCTCTGCGGACCTCAGCCCTCTACCTGAGCTGCTCTTAAATCTGGCATAGTCCAGGTGTCCCATCATTATTTCCTGAGCATCTGCTGTGTGTAAGCCAGCCCCCACCCCCTTCCTGTACCAGGATCTGCAGAGGAAACACAGATGAACTCGTACTATGAGTGATTTAATCTCTCTGAACCTCAGTTATCACACCTATAAAAGGGATTTATACCAGCCAGCTACCAATAAATAAATAAATATAAAATGGAAATTTTTTTTAAAAAACCAACCTTACGGAAATTAAATGGGATACTGTGCACAAAGCAGCTAGTGAAATGCCTGGCTCACAGTTGTTTACCCCTTTCCTCTGGGATCCAGAAGAATTAGGGACCTATGAAAAGATCATAAAACCTAAGTGCCAAATGAGAAGCAAAAATAAAAAACTATGAGGGTTTAGGGAACTAGAGACTACTTTCTAGAGGGTAGAGGATAGAGACAGATCTCATAAGTTAGAGGGAGTCATGGGAGGAGACCGCCTCTCCATGTGCTCCAGCAGGTGCAAACAAATGCCCTTAGGCTCACTGGTACATGTTCATGTGCCCCCAGGTTCCTATGTCCTATAGACAGCCTTCCCAGGCCCATCCCAGCTGCTCCTGAGCTCGTGGGCAGACAAGCCTCTGCCCACCCTGACGGCCCCTCCACATCACAGATCAGGAGTCATAATGTGCAGGAAGAAGGACAGAAAATACTTAGACCTTCAATTTCTCCCCTTTCTCTCATTTCTCTAGTCCTGTTTATCTGTGGAGTGGCTTCTCTGGAGGGCAAGAGCAAAAAGAAGCAGGGAGCGGGAAGAAGGGCTGGGAGGGGGCTACAGCTCACCCCAATACACAGGCACATGCACAAGCACGTGATGTCCACACAGCACAGCCCTGCTGCTCCGTGACCACAGTCTCATCCCCTCCCTCCCTTTGGTGGAGGGAAGAAGGCTGAGGGTTCCCTTGCCCCCAGAGATCAAAATCAGGCAGGAGTGGGCCTGCCCGGTGGCGCACTGCTACAGTGCGCCGCTTGGGGGCGTGGCGGGGCTCCCCCCGAGGGTGCGGATCCCACATACAGACCGGTTCCCGCTCACTGGCTGAGCAAGGTGCGGACGCAACACCGAGGGTTGCAATCCGTTGCCGGTCACAAAAAAAGACAAAAAGGAAAAAAAAAATCAGGCAGGAGTGGGCCTGCCCGGTGGCG